ATTCTAAGTGCACCACACATGAAGTTGTCAACATGTTGTAAATGCTAAACAAATCACTTGTTAAATATCTTTGAATACTGAATGAACAAAACTGAGTAGTTCGATCACGGTTATATCTAGTGGTCGACCAATATATCGGCCGATGTTTGGCATTTTTTAAAATATCGGCATCAGCCGATAAGTTTTCCTGTTTGGCTGATGCGTTCGAGGCGGGACTTTTATTTTGACGGCGCTGACAGCCTGAGCACAGTGCTCACCTTCTCCCTCTTGTTCGACCGTCGTCGTTAACAGTTCTGTCTAATAAGAATATAAGTCTGTCTAATAATCAGATAGAACGGTTAAACAAAGAAATTAAAATGTATACAAAAAGCATTATAACGATTGCTTTTATATTATTAGTAATAGAAAGGCAAACATTATAATGCTTTCTCATTTGACATCAGCATTCAAGCAAATACACATTTATATCATTTAAACAAATCTTAGAATTACTAATGAACATTTAATTTCACAAAGCTTGCAAACTTAGTCGAATCCAGCTGTGAGATCTTATGAAGTGTGCATTTGCATCCTGCATGATCGCGTGTACTCTGCATGACGGTCGGTCCGTGTGAATTGAATGCGGACAGGAGGAGAGTTCAGCTTCACTGGAGACGCGCAATCGACAAACCTTAAACTAGGGATTTCAAATTATGCTGCGCTTTATGCATTTGCCCACTGCCATATTCATGTCATTTCCACTGTGTACTTTATGTAAAATTAGTGTTACCTTGGCTTTATTTGAAAAAATATGATTCCCAATGCACACAAACTTCTCAGAATACTGAGTGCCCTGTTGGTTAGTGTTTACTTCCTTTTTTAATATATTTTTTATAGGGATGCACCGATACCACTTTTTCCAGTACTCGCCCGATACCGATACTTTTATTCCAGCAGGATTTGGCACCTGCCCACACTGCCAAAAGCACCAAAAGTTGGTTAAATGACCATGGTGTTGGTGTGTTTGACTGGCCAGCAAACTCACCAGACCGGTATTGTCAAGAGGAAAATGAGAAACAAGAGACCAAAAAATGCAGATGAGCTGAAGGCCACTGTCAAAGAAACCTGGGCTTCCATACCACCTCAGCAGTGCCACAAACTGATCACCTCCATGAACTCCATGAAATAAATGAACTTTTCCATGACATTCTAATTTATTGAGATGCACCTGTAGTGCCCTATTTTTGTATACAGTATAATTATGTTTAATTAAGCTAATATATAGCACTATAAATTCTTAATTCATTTGCAACAAAACTATAAAGTTTTGTTGCAAACGGATGAAGACATTATAGTAGCCTAGGCCTGTATCTCAGCTCACCCCTCAACATGCATGCATTCGGAGTTTCGGCAGCCCAACACTGAATATTATATTGTGGCCGTTGTATTTTGATTCATAAAATAAAAATTATAAAACTTACAATACAAAAACGAAATTTTAATTACCCCTGCTTCTAAATAAAGCAGTTATTTTTATTTCATTAAAAACGGGCCAAATGAGACCTCCGAACTAGGCTACAAGAAAGGGAAAAAAAAAAACCTTAAAGTTTTCGCTCAGAATTCGTTTTTTAATCCCTGCATGATTTTAGTCATACATGATAAATATCAAATACGTTATAGCTTGACTACAAGCTTAAAAACAACGCTGCAATTGTTATAATCAAGGAAATTAAACTTACCATCATGAAATGTGTCTACACGCGATTAATGCCAAAAAAAGAAAGAGAAACATCGGAAATAGGCATATTTTATTCAATAAATTACTATATGACATCAACATGCATTTATCATTCTTACAATCATCGCCAGAATGTCCAACTTCACCATGACGAACTTAAAATTGGGTTCTATTATTTTTTCTCAACAGTTCTCACAAAACGAAATTCATTTCAAACACAAATTTGATAAGAGCTAGGGGTGCTCCGATCAGGATTTTTTGAGGCCAATCACCGATCGCAGAAAGCAGTATCTGCCGATATCGATCACCGATGCCTATCTTTTTAAAGCCTTCTTTTTATCATTTATAACTATTTATAGTGATACTCTAATCAGGATTTTTAGACATTTATTCAGGGCCTGAATTTCATTTTTGAAAATGGGGGGAATTCCCCTCTTAGGCGACTTGTGAGAGGGGAAGCAGCACGGACTGTGCTTTCACACAGGAGTCCGCTACTGATCCGTGGCTGATTACCACAAACACAACATTTATCCATTATTTTGATTTCAAATCCAAACATCGTCACTGAAAATGTTTTTTCAGTATTGCAATTTTTTTTTTTTACACAGTACAGTAGGGCTGTGCAAAAAATCGAATGCAATTTTCATGCGCATCTCGTCAGTAAAAAAGGCGATTCGATTCATTGCCGATTTTGAACGCGATTTCGTGTAGCTTGTCAGTGAACTACGGCTCTGTGTAGTAAATGCCGCTCCATCTGAACGCACGTGCTGGAGATTTACTACTAATCACAGGAGCACCTTTACTGACGAGATGCGCATGAAAATTGCATTCGATTTTTTGCACAGCCCTACAGTACAGTAGTACAATCTTTCACAGACATGTTTAAACACAATAAATATAAGTAACACATTATTCAATGCTTTTTACTTTTGCATTTACTTCTAGATGTATATATTAAGTTGCTCAAGCAAGTGGCAAAACATTTAAACTACTTTTCTTACGTTATCTTAGATCAGCTCTAACGTCACTGAATCTGCTGTTAAAAATTAACGATCCATTTATCATATCATCATGCAAAACACGACAAATAGCAAATTTTTAATTGTTTCTCGAAACGTCATAGCATTTCCACACCGGCGATGACATGACTGCGGCGCCAAATCATTTATGTCCCCACGCATCATGTACGTCCTCACGTGTTGATGCCATCAAATTGCGATCAGTTCGTGAGATCGACCAATAGTAGTGAGTATCGATCGAGTCATAAAATGTGATTATCGGCCAATACCGATCTCCGGCCGATCGATCGGAGCATCCCTAACTATAGAGTGCCACAAGGCTCAGTACTAGGACCATTGCTTTTCACACTCTGCATGTTACACTTGGGAGATATCATCAAGAAACATGGTATTAGCTTTCACTGTTATGCTGATGATACTCAGCTCTATATTTCTTTGCAGCCCAATGAAACATACAAATTTGCAAAACTAACGGAATGCATCCAGCAAAAAACTGGATGACCAGTAATTTCCTACTGCTAAATTCTGAAAAAACAGAGGTGTTAATTATTGGACCAAAAACCTCCGCATGTAATAACCTAAAACACTGTCTAACACTTAATGGCAATCTTTCCTTTGAAAACCATGTTTCTAGCATTTGTAAAACTGCATTTTTCCATCTTAAAAATATATCTACATTACGATCTATGCTCTCAATGTCAAATGCAGAAACGTTAATTCATGCGTTAATTACCTCAAGGTTAAGATTATTGTAATGCTTTATTGGGTGATTGCTCTGGGCGCTTAATAAACAAACTCAAGCTGGTCCAAAATGCAGCAGCTAGAGTTCTTACTAGAACCAGGAAGTACGACCATATTAGCCTGGTTCTGTCAACTCTGCACTGGCTCCCTATTGAACAACGGATACATTTTAAAATCTTGCTAATTACTTATAAAGCCCTGAATGGTTTAGCTCCTCAGTACTTGAGCGAGCTCATATACGTTATCTTAGATCAGCTCTAACGTCACTGAATCTGCTGTTAAAAATTAACGATCCATTTATCATATCATCATGCAAAACACGACAAATAGCAAATTTTTAATTGTTTCTCGAAACGTCATAGCATTTCCACACCGGCGATGACATGACTGCGGCGCCAAATCATTTATGTCCCCACGCATCATGTACGTCCTCACGTGTTGATGCCATCAAATTGCGATCAGTTCGTGAGATCGACCAATAGTAGTGAGTATCGATCGAGTCATAAAATGTGATTATCGGCCAATACCGATCTCCGGCCGATCGATCGGAGCATCCCTAACTATAGAGTGCCACAAGGCTCAGTACTAGGACCATTGCTTTTCACACTCTGCATGTTACACTTGGGAGATATCATCAAGAAACATGGTATTAGCTTTCACTGTTATGCTGATGATACTCAGCTCTATATTTCTTTGCAGCCCAATGAAACATACAAATTTGCAAAACTAACGGAATGCATCCAGCAAAAAACTGGATGACCAGTAATTTCCTACTGCTAAATTCTGAAAAAACAGAGGTGTTAATTATTGGACCAAAAACCTCCGCATGTAATAACCTAAAACACTGTCTAACACTTAATGGCAATCTTTCCTTTGAAAACCATGTTTCTAGCATTTGTAAAACTGCATTTTTCCATCTTAAAAATATATCTACATTACGATCTATGCTCTCAATGTCAAATGCAGAAACGTTAATTCATGCGTTAATTACCTCAAGGTTAAGATTATTGTAATGCTTTATTGGGTGATTGCTCTGGGCGCTTAATAAACAAACTCAAGCTGGTCCAAAATGCAGCAGCTAGAGTTCTTACTAGAACCAGGAAGTACGACCATATTAGCCTGGTTCTGTCAACACTGCACTGGCTCCCTATAGAACATCGAATACATTTTAAAATCTTGCTTATTATTTCTAAAGCCCTGAATGGTTTAGCACCTCAGTACTAGAATATCAAAATCAACTGCGGGCTGCAGATCCTTTTCCTATTTAGCACCACACTCTGGAACAATCTACCTAGTGTTGTTCGGGAGACAGACACACTCTGTCAGTTTTGGGATTGGGCCCAAGTGTGACCCCTAGTGTCACTAAATCAAGGAACAGAGGTTACAAAAGTAACCAAGAAGTTTTAAACCTATTCAAAATAAATACATAAATATAAAGATAGAATTCAAAAGGATGGAAAAAAATATTAAAATGCTTATCACAGCACTACATCTTAGAGCAAAATGTATTGATTAAAATTCACCTTTTAGTGCCCTCTGGAGTGTCTCTAAACAGTTGAGCAGCAGTTGGTGTCCAGCTGTATTAATGACCCCACGCTTTTCCTGAACAGCCAATAAAAAATTATAATAATAATAATAACAACAAAAAGATCAACATATACAAAAACTATAAAGAGATCTATGCTGTGTTTCTTTAAAAAACTCTTCTCATCAGAGGGACTTGCCATAGCCTGCCGCACCACTTTGCTGGTCTCCTGCCAAGACCGGGAAGAGTTGTGTTTGCCATGGAGCCTTTCCAGCAGGGCTGTCATACGACTGTGTTTCTCTGACTCTGTAAACAAGTGCAAACAAAATGGTGATAAAAATATGATAATTTCTTTAATGAGGGAACATTTTAAATCATTGAAGCACAATAAAACATGAAAGATAACAATTCTCAGATGCTGTTCTGACAGACGTATTTTTCGGTTTTTCAGACTGACGGCAGAAGGTCTGGGAACCTTGGCCGACTGTTTTGTGCCGCGTCATGTTTAGGGGTGTGGAAATGTCCCCACAATAACAGACCAGTGTGTAAAACTCTTGGACGTATTTTAAAGATTATATGCCGCAAACTTTAAATATTTCACATACTTTTGAAAATCCAGTGTTTAGTTGATCCTGATAAGCGCTCATTGTCACAGTTGTAAACACATCGGCTTTCTTCTAACATGAAGGGGTTTGGCGTCACAGCATATTTGTTTCTAGGCGGAATGTTACAGAACGCGACACGCACGTCTCACGGAAATCCTGTATAATTGACCATATGCACGGAGCGCTATTTAGAACTTCCTGATAAAGATAAGCCAGCTCATAATCTTCGGGTGAAACTCATTTTATATATGTGCTAAAGACTCTCACAGAAAGCTCTCCTGCCTCATTCTTATCAGAAACTGAGAAACTAAATAATTGCAACACCATAAATAATGATAGCGGAATTAACATACTGTTTTATGTTATTAAAGAACATGTACATTTATATGCAGAGTCTGGTAATCCCAGAAAAGTAGGCTACCGAGACACGTACCTGTACATTTAAATGCTGACAAATAGGGCTGAACGATTAATTGCATTTGCGATAATATCGCAATATGAAATAACGCGATTTTTCAATCGCAGAGGCTGCGCTTACACGGTCACGTGACACGCGAGAGTAAAGAGGTGTGTTCGACTTGAAGATCAGATCGGTGTATGACATCAAAGTACGGCGAGAGAAAGCATAAGGAGCCGTCCGCTCTCTTATAGCTCTCGCAGTACTTTGATGACACACCCATCGGTCTAACCAAAAAAATCGCAATTAGATTATTTTCCAAAATCGTTCAGCCCTACTGACAAATAAACACTATTGTAACCGTCTAGGCAGTTAGTCTAATCTCTTAAATGACATCGTAATGGTATTCTCGATAATCAATATCTTACCTTCATAGCCATGAATACATTTTTAAAATCTTAGACAATTTTAAAGCCTTTATTATTTCTCATCAGTAAAATGCACTTTATTAAAGGTTCACTTTTCATTCATGTTTTAGACTTCTCCTTATTTTAATATCTTAGACATCCATCAATTAGTGATGAAAAAAATTGCCGCGCTGGTGGAAACAACACGAGACTGTGCTGCCGCGACTGTCAAGAGCGGCTCCCAATC